GGTTCAAATTTTATTACAGTTTTCGTATCCAATTTTCTATTTTCTCACAAATTGCCACCATAAATTATGTAACTGATTTCCGCAAGTAGGAATAAGTGATTGGGTAAATTGCTTTTCTAGAAAATTGAAAGTTTTATCGTTCTCCGATCATATCCGTTCGTACACATTTCCTAAGTATATTAGTCAAAGTATAAACTAAATATTTAAAAACATGTATCTGTAACGTGAGGAGGGCAGTTTACCGTCGACACTTATGCCTCACTAGGTCAATTGTGCATCCTCCTAATATATATTGTCTGAATAAAAGAGGAGTGTAGTTAAAGTGAGGATATAACGTCACATTCCATAGACGTATTTTGCAAAATAAGTTTCTATAATATAAATAAGGTCACGACAAAATGGTATATATGCCCTTCGTAGATTAAATTTTGAATGAAAGAGGTTATATTATTTACAAAAAGAATTCCACCTTTTTAACATGATCAATGCATTTTCTCCAATGTTCTCCATTTATATCTGAAACTACATTCAAAAACAAATTCGCACATCAGGTAATTTAAATGTTGTATTGTTTCAAAAAACATAACCTTTTAATTGTGACCAGCAGTGTTGAGACGTCTATCTTTGTTTTGAAATATCTTCTTTTTCCATCTTGTTATAGGTAGTGACTCCTTTAATCGACTGTGATAGGTAGCATTATCCAAAACAATAACGGAGTTAGCAGGAATTTTTTTTATAATGTTCTAAAACCAATTTTTAAACATTGCCTTCCATTTCTTCATGGTAGTCTTTTGTTTTCTTTGATTCGAACATTATTAAACCATCTGGAAAAAATCCATCGGTGTTTCCAATGTGGGTTATTATTAAACGATTTCCTTTCCCTGTTGGATTTTTTAATCCACAAGAAACCCCTTCCATAAAGGATTGTTTTTTAGTTTTGATGGATGTATCTTGCCAATTTTTTTTACTGTACAGCATTAACCCATGTTTCTTCTAAATAAAATATCTGTTTATGCTGATTCCTTGCGTCCGCTATTTTCTTAAATAAACATGTCGCCACGCAATGATTCGTCTTTCTCTGTTAAAAAGCGGTTTCTTCACATTTTTTGTAAAGAAATTTAATTCATGTAATATTTTTTGCAAATGAAAATGTGATATATTTGGAAGAGTGGGACTATTTTCTATTTCTGAGTGTAATTTTTTAAATGTAGGAATTTCATTTTGAAAGAAAAAGAATTTACCATTTGCCTTATTACATTCTTTACCCAAGTTTCAATATTACAAATAAGCATTGAAGGATGAGGTATAAATAAAATGTCCACCTGCACTCCTTTCTTCTCTAGACTATAGATTAATGTAGTTGACAACGTCGCCAAAAGGTGCTTCTCTTATATCGGCCGATTTTAGCCGATACTCGCCGGACGGAATAGGAAAGAACTTTATTTATCTGGAATAAAACTAATAAAAAACAATGCAAGTAGTAGCTTTTATTAATACTGTGATATCTTCAGTTCATTCCTGACCCTAAGCACAATTTACTTTTATTTTACTACAAAGTTTATGAGTAATATCGAAAACTTTTTAGAAGAGGTTATGTCATATTGGATTCAACGTCTACTAATGAACATTCATTGTTATATTATTGTTTTTTAGATTACCCGAATTTATTTTATTTATACTTCGACTAAGTGAGTTTGGAGAATGTATGCATTTACTAGACTTGGTGTGAACACTTAAAAATTTAGTCATTGTATTAATTGATTCGGGAATGCATACATTCACGAAGTGTTCACTTTAACATATACATTACTTTTTTGTTACATACACCTTTAGCGTTTGATTGTATACGAAATTAGGCTATAATTTTTTTAAATTAATGGTACTATAAGACTGTTTTTAGACAAATAACTACAATCGCAAGTTGGCGTAAGTAACAGACAATTGGAACTCATCGAAAGATATTCTACATATTTTCTGTTCGTCAATATAAGAATAATAGTCAATAATTTTAACTAATGGTTATTACTATGTTGCTGTATGATAATATAGGTGCTTGGCAGATTTGGTCGATTTTGTCAACACATGGCAGGCATAACCGTGTACCAATTGGCTCAAGAGTCAGGTAAAGTACCTACGCAAGCAGAGGAATAAAGAATGATCTTTATTTTTAGGTAACGGAGATAAACGGGACCTCTGTGCGTCATTGCTCTTTGGCGTAGAACTTTCAATCAATATGTTGGCGACTTCTTGAATCTCTTTGGCGTAATTTGGTACTTTTCTTTTTCTTAATATTTTGAAAAGTAAGCACGAAATGGTTTTGAATCTTCTTTTCTCAAAATCATGTTCGGTTGGTGAAAAATTGAATCGGTATTTCAAAAAAAAATTAATTTATATTCCTAAAAGGTCATCAGAGAAAATGAGGAAATTTGTTTTTTTAGTTCATTTTATTTTTTTTTTTTAATGTATGCAAATTTGTTTTAACTTATTAGTTATATGCTATATTAGTAATTTGGTTCCACTGACGACGCTGTTGACATATTTTTTAAATGTTCAAAATCTAGCAAAGATGTGTTAAGTCCTTTATTTAGCAGTATGCTAATACATCCAATAAAAAAATAAAACAGTGCATAAAAACAGTAGTGATTAAAAAAAGATAGTAAAAATTAAATATTTGGTATTGTAACGGTTTTTTTTTTGTTTTTTAGAGGCGGATAATTTTAAATTAAAATAATATGATTGGAATAATATGATTTCGGGCATGTGATGGCGTAATCTGGAGGTCCAATATTCACACACTCTTCGCAGCGTGTGAATATGGAATTTAATTGAAAATAGTACAAGTATATAGGTGCTATACCTCTTCATTTTAAAAATTAAAATAGGCATTTGAAACAAAAATTTATATTTGACTGAAAGCAGTCTCAATAACTTCAACATTTCCTGAATAGTATACCTACTGCAAGAAAGAATGATTCGCATAGCCCTATTTTGTAATTTTTGGATTCTTAATTTATTTTGATTTAACAAATATAATTTTGAAGAGCAATAAGTCAAATGTGGAAGTAGAGGTAAATTGAAATCCTTTATAATTAACTAATTTTTAAAAATAAAGTTTTAATTATACAGTTTGGCATGATATTTAAAATTTTATGTGCGGTCATCAATCACCTAAATATTTTATTTCCTTTTCTAATTCAATTTTGTGCATTCCTAAACATATTTTCAAATTTTTATTGTTAAAATCATATTTATTGTTCCCTATTAACATAAACTTACTTTTTGACAAATTAATTTTAAGGTAATTGACACATCACTCATTTGCACGATTTAACACACCATTTATAATAACAACCAAATGCTTAAGCTCGTTGGAAGAAGAATAAATCACTGCGTCATCTGCAAATAAGTGGACTTATCAATCATTTACTTTTATTTGTTCTATATCTTCAATATAAAGTAAATAGAATAAAGGACCTAACACGCTTCCCTGAGGTACACCAAAATAATTTTCTATTTCATTTGAGTTCATGTTTTTTAAAGTTTACCGTTGTTTGCAACTACAATCATTTCAACTTTCCATTTTCTTAATTAGTAAATCTCTATTATCAATTAAGATAGATTTGGTTTGTCTTTGTCTCCAGGGCTTAAATAGTATGTTAAACAAACAATTTATAACGGTTGTAAAACATATCGCAAATCTCTCGAACTATCTTGTGTTAAGAGAGAGATGAAAGATGGTACTATTATTTTCTGTGACTGTCACGTTACGTTTAATAGTATGGTTGAACGTTTTTTAGTTTTTGTTCTATGTTGGCCTTGTTGCGAATCTGCGCGCCATTTGAAAAGGGTTGCTTCATTAAATTCTATGTACGCGACAGGGCCGGGTAATGTTTTATAAATCGTGTTTAATGTGTACGAAAAGTCGTATTTAAATATGTACCCGCTAGCTTTTCATTTATATTAATTTCTAGATTCTATTTAAATATTAAAAAAAAATTGGTTACATACCTTTTTACGACCTGCAAATATGTCAAATTCAATGACGTGTTTTTTTAAGTTAACTGTCAGTGGAACGCAAATTACGTCACTAATATAGCATATTAATTAGTCCTATGAAAGATTCTTGCTTTCATTATATTATCTGTTTAAAATGGTGCATAGTATAAAGTAAAACATTTTCATTAAAATTATGAATTGATGTTATGCTTACTATAGGAAATTGACACATCTGAAACGCCTTCATAACAAACTTTGAACCAAAATCATCGAATGAGCTGCTTAATCTCTTCTAGATTTTATTGCGTATTCATTCAAATTTATAAATCTAGTTCTTGAACCAAAATCATCGACTAATTTTCATAACTCAACAACAAATAAGTAATATCTTCATTATACTATACATAATTGAATACTGGTTGCCCTCGTCAGTAACCGGTTGCTTCGGATACCCTTCTCATTGTTTGATATATTTTTGATGTCCTTTTCAGTAATCTGTCTCACATACTGGTTATCCCATTTTTGGTTTATTTTTGTTTTTTTCCTTTGATTTTTTTTATATATATTATAAAACTAGTTTTCATTTTAATGTTAATTTTACAAATAAAATAGTTTAAAATCGATTCTTTTTAAATTCAGAGTGTTGTGATTTATTTGCTACACCAGCAGTTCAAATTTTAAACTAACATCGTCAACTAAGTTGTAAATTATTTCTTATTATTTTCTCTATATACCCATTGCATTGTTTGGCGTATTTTTGATGCCCTTTTTCGTGTCAATTCACTTTGTTGTAATTATGTATTAAAAAAAAAACCGTTACGAGTTAAAAATTATTTTTGAAAACTTTTCAATTTTTCGCCAACTATCTTTCGATGAGCGCACTGCGAAACTTGCGACATTGGCGAATTTTTCCTAAGAGGTCCCTCGAAAATGGATGCGCTTGCGACATGCCCCCAGATATCAATAAGATGTGTGCCTAATACGATTTCTTCTCCCTTCATTAGGCGTGTTACTTAAAAGCTATCGAAACGAGACCGGATTTCGCCGTGGCCTGGAGTAATCTGGGTTGCGTCTTTAACGCACAAGGCGAAATATGGTTAGCGATTCACCACTTCGAGAAAGCCGTCGGCTTGGATCCGAATTTTTTGGACGCCTATATCAATCTTGGGAATGTGCTCAAGGAGGCGAGAATCTTCGATCGGTAAGTGTTTTTTTTTTACATTAATGTACATTACGAGAGGTGAAATTTTTGACTTGGCAAAATAGGTATTTATTAAGTTACTCACCTTTAAAATACATTTTACTCGGTTTTATAACTATTAAATGCATACTAATATAAATATTAACTTATAAATACGTTGGTTAATACGTCAGTTAATTATTATTCGAGTAAATAATTGTCCATTGGGGAAATTGGTCTTTCGATCAATTGTCTTATGGGCAAATGTCTGTTCGAACAATTGTCCATTCCATCAACTATCGTTGTCTTTCAAGAGATTTTTTGGAGCAATTGTCCGGTACCCCTAAAATACAACATACAGTGCTTATTTTTTCGTGTTAGGCGTACGACTAGTATACAAGTTAATAAAATGGCAGCAGGGCAACAGCCAGTCGTCGCGGTCGACTAGAATTAGAATATATTATGGTGGTAGGATATTAGCCGAACCGAATATCAGTGACTAAACCAGAAAAAGTTTAATTTTACTACATTCAACTCCTACTGTTTCTGTGCCCGTAAAGAATGTTTAGCTGTTAATCTGTTGAAATAAAAATCCGATACTCGTGGTTCATTCATATTCAATTTTCATTCCAACCTTGTTACAGAATATACTATTTTAAATGTACCGGTAACATTTTAAAGCGGTAAATGCGCAATTCCACTGTAACATACTACAAGTAGTCTGTAGATATGTACAAGCAACTCTTAATCAGTTTAATAGAGGCATGTCTTTAGTTTGAGGAGGAATTACGCATCTAGGAATTTCCATAATATTAAATTCTTCTAGTTGAGAATGAAATTTTAACCATATTGTATGTAAATCACTCCGGATGGATTCATCCCACGATATTTGCAATTACCTAAGGTTTTAATATTGTCATTATTTGATATAACATAATTGATTAAATTATTTTATAGTATTCATGTATCATAAACCATGCCAAACAAACCCAAAAGCGTGCATAATTGGATCTTTATCGCACGCCGTGCGTATAAAGGTTGCTAGGTAACCGCTTTAATAAATGTGATAAGATTATGTCAGATTTTATTTTGAATTGTCAAATGAATCAAATTGTTTACAACTTAACATAAAAACAAGTAACAGAAAAATTATTTTAATAATTAAATTAAATGTCAAATGACATTTACCTGCCCACTCGATAAAACGCATGGAAATTAATAATTTGCATTTTTCAATTAAAATGATTTTAGTTGTTATTACTACTATTACTATTGTAATTACGCATTCATACTAAAATATATCGTATGACACAATGCATAATCGCTTTTAAAGCATTCGCAACGTTAAGGCTACTCCGCTGCGCGTCGTGGCCTTAAACTCGTTCATGCTTTAAAGGCTCGATTATGCATTAGTGTTATAATATACTAATCTTTTGATTCTATACCTTGTAAAACTTATCGATGATTCGATGAAAACTTGACATATAAAAATCGTTTTGAATGATATTACTCTCGATAGGATATTCTTTTTGACATTTAAATGCTTACATTTGTTGAAAACAACGTTTTGTTAAAAATGAAGCTGAAGCTGTTCCGTAAGTAATTGTCGTTAATTTATAATGATTTAAAGACGATTGGGGATCTTCGCTCCAACAATACTTTGAAAGTTTAATCATTTGGGGGAACTATTATTTGTTTGTACATTTTGACTGTCACCAATTAAAACTATCTGATGTTGCCTGAATCTGATTAAAATTGTAAAAAATCATTTTGTGTTGTAAGTCCTACTTTTAATGTATTATTTAATGACAATTCTGAGGTGCTCCTTGCCGAAGCGACAAAGACCAGTCTCAATTTTGTAGTTCTGCTATCTACTTTCTCCACCGCATGATGCGGCGAATAGTAATTATATTTAGTCTCAATCTGAGGAACTATTTTACCCATATGCCCAAGTTGTTCATACTCTCTTATAAAATTGGAGTATTCTAATTTTAGAGACTGATCTTTTTGAAACTTTCTTTCAGTAGAATAAAATCTTTTTGTCTAGATCATGATTTTCAATATAATATGCCTCACATTCCAGCTCATCCTTTGAAAAAATAGCTGTGGATAATTTTCATCCATTATCTATCCAAAATTATTATTTAATTGGTTGTGATTGCTATGCCTTTGTACTGAGGGGCTGAGTTCGGTATGAGTGTACAACCGGATACAATCGAATTTTGTTTTTTGTAATATTGGTAAACTTTTTTCTAAATGAATTTGACCAATACAAAGTAATACAAAGAATAAACCAGCGCTGAGAAGAATTTCTATGCTGAAAGCCTCGTTGAACTGGGGGTACGCAAGTTTGACATTATTTGGAATTTTCAGGTGTGATGTTTCAAACCTCGCTTGGGTTATAATGTGCTATAATCGTTACATGATTTAATCTTTAAATTATCCTGTTCCGACATATTAGTAATGGATTGACCAATGCCGTATATACTGGCAATGAAATATTGGTTGGTTTTATACCCAATTTGGTTAATAAATTGTTTGAAATAAAATTTGACTGAGCACCACTGTCTAACAAAGCTCTGCATTGATTAAATTCATTTTTGACATTATAGTGGCTGTTGAAAATAAGACTGACATTTGGTAAACGTTGTGATTTAGATTATTTGCTTGGCTAACTTCACGTGCTTGTGCCACTGATATGTGGTAGTTGCTCGATTGTGGATTTGTACTTAATAAGTACTGATTCACTTATATAATTTGGTTAATTGCTTGTTAAGTTATTTGCATTAGTATTTGTGTTAAATTTTTATGTAATAATGCATTTGTGTGATTTGGAACAAAGTTTACAAGAAAACTTTAATTTGCATTGGCGCCTTAGCATGGCCTGTACGCAAGCAATTTGTTGCGGCGACTGCATATTTAGTAAGCTGGCAACGCTGATATAATTCATTTCCTGCTCACTTTAAAGCTCTATTGCTAACTCTGTACTTTTCACAACAATTTGCGCAAACCGTATTGGAAGGCGTTTGATAGCCGATAATGTATATGTTAGACACGGGTTACCAGCATTTTTGGAGGTGCGATTTTTAACATTTACAAATCCATCAATAAACTTCGATTATTAATGCGAGAGACGTTTGGCTGGAAATTCACGAATGCAGCAGTCATTCGGAATTTGTGCAATGCCTTTAATGGGAGCTTTGCCGATATCTCTTGCATTAATAATCAAAGTCTGCTTTCGATGAAATAAAAATAGTAAAATAAAAAGATACTGCAGCCTTAAACTGTAGGAATGTACAGGGTAATAAAGATAACATCCATATTATTTTAACAAGTGATTATCAATTACAAAAACAAGAGCTTTTACTGAACGACTTTTAACTTTGAAAGGTTTTTAAGAATAACTACCACATTCAATTTCTGTATCCTATATTTGTTGTCATATTATACCATTTAATACCAGTTAATAAAAAAAAAAACTAAAAAAAATGTATGTGCAAATTTTCTTTCAGACAAAAATTTTTTGGCGTAATTTTCGCACGATAAATAAAATAAATTAGTCAAACCACTATTTTTTTTGTTTTTTACTGAATACGACATTAATCGGTATGCGAGGGTCACGCTGATATGAATGAGATTCACAAAAACTATAGGGACTGTGGTAATGAACATTCACGTGTGTTCAAAGTACTCCTCTCCAGCATAAATGCAGTTTTGAAGCCGAATTTGGCACAATCGATTTCTGCTTCTGAATTAAAACGACGACTTCGTAAATTCTTTTTCAAATTAAAATATAACCAAAACTCATACATTGCGAGAATCGTAACGTTGCTTCCGCCTTATGAGAGGGCGCATTGTCGTGATGTATCATTAATCTTCTGACAGTTCTTAAGGTACCATTTCGGTAGGCGCGACAGACGACCGCCGACGCAACAAACGACCGCCGACGCGACAAACGACCGCCGACGCGACCGAGAAGTGTCTCTTCACATCTAAAATACATACAATTATATGAAACACATTTCGCACGGCGAGACACGAGAAGTGTCGTCAAGACGACACTTCTGAATCTGTCTCGGGGCAAAGCGTTTGCTGCGTGTCGCACTCGAGGTCACTGTCCTCAGGCATCGCTTCTTTTTGGAGGCGATTAGGTTGGAAATTTCTTTCGATCTAGGCAGTGTTGCCAGATTTTGGAACAGTATGGGTAAAAAAAACCGTAGATCTGAACAGTAGATTTTAATACAGGGGAAATAATTATACTTAACGTACGAAAAAAAAAATCAATGAAAAATAATAAGTACCTACTTCTTTTAGATCAGTCTGAATCAGATAATTCAAAATCGTAGTGTTTGGCATATGCATGTTCTTTTTATGATGCCCTATTAATTCTTCGTTTCATTTTAAATAAAAACAATGATTATCTTGATGTTTTTTTATGGAGCCAACCTACAGTAGTGGATGCTTATTACTCTGCTTTTGCTGCAGTAAATTTACTAGAGAAAATATTCTTTAACCATTTGCTGAAGAATGAGGCAAACTTAATAAATTAAGAACAAAATTTGCTAGAGACAAAACCAGTGGATCTACGTAAAAACAGTAGGTCTGGCAACGCTGATCGTTCCCTCGAATGGTTTTCCTGCAAGTGTCTCGTCACCCGTCTCCAAGCTTCCGAAATGTACGGAGCGTAACATTTATGCATCTGTCGCCCTTGGGGTCGCCTCGGTGGTCTCCTGTCTCCTGACGCGCCTACCGAAATTGTACCTTTAAAGAACAGTAGGAATACATACTTGGGTGTACTAGTGGTGGGAAATACCGTTCCAAATGATACCGCGACAGAAGAATACCGCGACAAAATACCGTATGCCTCCCGCTTATGGAATTTTATAACCGGGCACCGTGAGCCTCTGTAATAATTTTATTTTTAATAAAATATATTCTGTGTGTTTCATATGTTAAATTATTTAATTTTACTATTTACTACATATTACTAACTTCAAGTAAAAGTCCATCCAATAAAATGC